AATATTTATTTATATATATATATATTGTAATGTGTTTTTAGGCAGTTGTAAATATTTATGATAGTGCTGCCATCGATAAATTATAAAATCGAAGAACAATCTATGGAGATTGATATTGATGAAGAAAAGTCCAAAAATGTACAATCAGTAAGACTTATTACTGAACATCTTATTAAATATAATAATTTTCAACAATTTATATTTCAATACGGTTTTAGAAAGTTGTAAATAGTTGCGATAGTGTCGCCATCGATAAAAATAAAATCGAAGAACAAACCATGGAATTTGATGTTGAAAAAAAAAAGTCAAAAATGTACAATAAGTAAGACATGTTATTGAACATTTTATTGAATGCTTTTAATACTTATATAAATATTGTAATGTGTTATGAGGCAGTTGTAAGAAATCCTGGTGGCCTGACGATGCTATAAATATAATCGAAGAACCAGCTGTAGGGTTATATATCGAGGAACTAAATCCAATTGATATACAACCAGTAAGACGTGTTATTGAATGTTATTAAATTTTATTTCTATATATTTAAATATGTTTTTAGGCAGTTGTAAGAAATCTTTGTGTCCCTGACGATGCTATAAATATAATAGAAGAACCAACTCTAGGGTTATATATCGAGGAACAAAATCCATTTGATATACAAACAGTAAGACATGTTTTTGAATGTTAATAATTTTTGTTTCCATATATTGTAATGTGTTTTTAGGCAATTTTAAGAAATCCTTGTGTCTCTGACGATGCTCTAAATTTAATCGAAGGACATGCTGTAATGTTAGACATCGAGGAACAAAATCCAATTGATATACAACAGTTAAGACATGTTATTGAATGTTAATAATTTTTGTTTCTATATATTGTAATGTTTTTTTAGGCAGTTGTAAGAAATCCTGGTGTCCCTGACAATGCTATAAATATAATCGAAGAACAAGCCGTAGGGTTAGATATTGAGGAACAAAATCCAATTTATATACAACCAGTAAGACATGTGATTGAACATTTCATTCAATGCTATAATAATATTTATTTATATATATATATATTGTAATGTGTTTTTAGGCAGTTGTAAATATTTATGATAGTGCTGCCATCGATAAATTATAAAATCGAAGAACAATCTATGGAGATTGATATTGATGAAGAAAAGTCCAAAAATGTACAATCAGTAAGACTTATTACTGAACATCTTATTAAATATAATAATTTTCAACAATTTATATTTCAATACGGTTTTAGAAAGTTGTAAATAGTTGCGATAGTGCTGCCATCGATAAAAATAAAATCGAAGAACAATCCATGGAGTTTGATGTTGAAGAAAAAAATGAAAATAATGTAGAACCCTGTTCCACAAGTACTGCAGAATCTCCAGAATTGGATGAAAATAGTTCATCTGAAACAACTATGTTCCATGAGTGTAAAGGTCGTAGATTTCAGTTTAAAAAGGGATCAGATATAGACAACCAGGCCACCATAGCCTTTATAAATGATTTTATAATGACCAATCGTAATGCTACATGGTTATATTCGGATAATGAAACTTTCGCAAATGATGGGACTAAAGAAGTCATCAATAGCTATTACATGCAAAAACGCTTCGAAAATAATTTCATTATTTAGATCATTCAAAACATATAAACAAACTGTGCAGTTTTAAAGTAAGACATTTTTTTAAAAATTTTATTTAATGTTGATAGTTTTTGGCTTTATATATTGTAATGTGTTTTTAGGAAATTGTAAATAATCATAATGGTGCTGTTATCGTAAAAAATAAATATGAAGAACAGACTATGGAGTTAAATATGGAGGAAGAAAATCAAACTAATGTACAATCAGTAAGACATTTTGTCTACTATCCTCTACTACAAGNCATGAGTGTAACGGTCGGCGATACCACTTTAGAAAGGAAACGGATGAAGAAAACCAAATTATCATAGACTTTATAAATGATATAACAACGAAAGAAGAACAATAGCTATCCTGCTAAAACCTGCTTAATCGCTTCATAATGAATTGAATTATTTAGATCATTAAAAATATATAAATAAAGGTAGTAAACATTTTATATGTCTATATATAAAGCAATTTATATATATATATATATATGTATATAATTTTTCTCTGGTTTTTTATGGTGATACTTTTTCTGAAAGTAAATCTGACCGGCATGGTACTTTTTTTCATATCAACTCCCAACTATTGATTGTATTATTACAGCCTGAATAATATGCAAAAGTATTATCTTAGATTTTATTCGAAACATTATTTCCTTTAGTTATTTTGTTTGCAACGGTGGCCGTATGCTAAAAAAACAATTTAGTTTATATATATTATCGTTATATCACAATAGCATTGTTCTTCAGCAACATGCATACGATTTATTTATAATTATACATCACAATATATTCATTAATTAAATCTATGAAACAACAATGATATTTTGTCAACATAATTTTTTCACTCAAAAAAAAAAAATCAAAAATAAACAACTACATCCATAACTTTAATAAATAAATGAGTGATATCCCATCAATAACTCTCCATCCACTTAATTTTTTAAACGTTGCTTTGAATATCTTAAATTCTTGAGTATAGAAATATTTTGTATTTAAAGAAGTGCGATCATTTTATATAAATAATATAACTTAGCTTGGTGGGTACTCATAGTATGTTTTTAAGTGTTATAGTGTTATAGTAATATTAATAAACTATAAAATGGGGATGTTTATTAGGGCAAAGGAAAATGTTTTATATAATTTTGTTAATTTTTTTTAAAAACATAAAGTTGATAGCAATCGAATCATTTTTATTAGTAGTAGGTCAAGGCATTCTATTAAAATATAATGGATGCTAATGTTAAGATGTCATAATAGGAAAAAGGGGATAAATCATTCAAATGAAATTTCATTGATGACAGTCGTAACAAGTCACAATATAACAAAGGAGATAAGATATTTTATAATTTTTTTAAAAGCTAAACGTCATAGGTCATTAAAGAATAGATAACAATTATTTTAGTCATTTAAATATATTTTAAACTATGTATTTTCTTAGGAAAAATATATACTTTAAGACCAAATTCAATTCAAAGCATTTAAAAATATTTTATTTTGTTTTTTTTATCTCCTGAAAATTAGCCGTTTTTTATTTCGTCTATATATTGTTAATCGGACTACATATCTGTAAATAAATATTGTATATATAAGTATTGCATAATATTATCTGCAAACATTTAATTTCCTGCTACCACTACCACCACCCAATAATTGTGATATTTTTATGATAAACTCGCGCACTTTAGAGCAGTCATCCAGTTGTGGACAAATATCTTAACATACCGAGTCACACATTCTTAGTCCATCGTTAGGTATCGTCATTAAACATTTTTTTTCTAATAATTATTCTAATTTCTAATTTATTTTAATTACTTATGTGATGTCTCGTGCTTATCACAATCTTATGATAATCTTATCACAGTCTTATCATTACAACGCTTAAGTCTTCTAATTATAGCAATCATTCTCCGTTGTACAACGACGAAACGTGATTAAAAATTAAAATATTTAATCAGTCAATCGTTTTGAAGGTTAAATTTATTTATTAATTCACCGCTGACTAAAACATACAGTGAAAGATCGGTCGATTGTATTGTAATAGTATTTATTGTATTAAAATAAGATTTGTTAATTTAACCCCTTTGTTTCTGATCATTTTTCTAATTAAAGAGTTTTTATTATTATATATATATATATAGATAAATATATATTAATTTGCACTTTAAATTGTGTGGGTACATCAGTATTTTAGGTATCATTTAATAAATTATTTGCTTAAATTACCTACCTATAATATTGGAATAATAAATGCAAAATTCAACAAATAATTAATGTAGCATATATTTGTCTTTTGGGTTCCACATAATAAATAAATCATTTTAGATTATGATAGGAGTGAAGAAGCTAAAAATAGATAACACAAAGACGTTTTTATTGTCCTCGTATAGGTAGTGTAAGTTTTTTGTGTATATTGGGCAAATTAAAACTTTTTCAATATATGTTCGCCCAATTACATTAAATGGATCTATAAATAAATACATTTGCTGTTAAAAGTATAAAATTAAATTAAAAAACAGTTTGGAAGCCATCATAATGAGGGCCATGTTTTTATTACACTTATTGCTTTTGACTCAAACTCAATTTTATTTCAATATTATACAATGATTACCATCCAAAAAAGTAACTACGCTTTCAAATTGGGGCT